GATGGGGCAGGACTCAGAGGCGTCGCCAGAATGTTTCCCGGCGCGTGGGGAGCAGGGTTAAGTTGGAGGCGGAGCCAGCTTGATTGTATAATTTTTTGAATGGGAGGGGCCAAAAGTCTTGTGGGGAAAGGTGAGGCCTGAAGTTTTATCCCGGTCAGGGCGGGACCAGTGAGTTTTGTGGAGGTTAGGGGCGTGGGTGCGCTGGCAGTTTTTTCTTGTAAGCATCCGTAGTCTTTTGGACTGAGTATCACTATGGAGGTCAAGTCCGGTCTAGGAAGCCCGCGGAAGTGGATCCTGGGCCTGCTTGCAGAATCGTTTCTGGCTTGGTAGGAAATGACAAGTGCCTTTTCAGAATGCTGGGGCCTGGGCTGACATGGGAAGACATGGATTAAAGTTCTCGGAGAGTTGGGACTGTTTTTCATTATGTTTTATTTACTTTGTGCATGTATGTGTGATCACACGGAGGTCAGAGCACAACTGGTGGGAATCGTTTTTCTCCTTCCATTTTATGGGTCCTGGGAATTGATCTCAGGTTCACAGGCTTGGCGGCAAGCACTTTTATCTTCCAAGCCTTCCCGCTGGCCCTCTAGAAGTTACTTTTGCTGATTGTAGCCAGCCGTCTGAGATCCCGGTCCTGGCTAAAATAATAGGCTGTGGAACCTGGACTGGCATCTTTGGAGGAATTAGTATTAGGTATAAGGGTGGGGCCAGACTTTTCCCAAGGTGGGTCTGACTAATTGCATGGGTGGATCTAAAACTGAAGGGCAGGGTTTCTATTTCTTCAGGAAAGGCGAGGCCAGTCTTGAGAATTCCCTTGATGAAGTACAAGTGTATTTTTCTGTGAGTCTCTGTTTTCAGAACCCTCAGTAAAGGAGAGGAGCCAGCATTTTAGAACTGTTCTCTTCCCCCAGGAACCCCCAGTGCTCCATTCCTTTTCTGTGAGGAGATCACAGCTGATGAGATGGTGAGCTGCAGAGTGGGGGAAGGGAGTGAGGAAGGTGGGATCCTGGGTAAAATGCCCTTGGCAGGAAGATCATTCTTTCCCCCTCAACTGTCTCCCCACTGCAGGCTACCACACTAGATTTGAAGTCAAAGGAGGAGAAAGATGCTGAGTTGGACAAGAGGATCGAGGCTCTGCGTCGGAAGAATGAGGCTCTCATCCGGCGCTACCAGGTGCCCTAGCCCTGCCCTGGGAGACCCCATCCCCTCTCCCCCGCAGTGAGTTTTTCCCACCTCTCCCTTCAAGCTTTCTCATGTTTCCCCTTCACTCACAGGACAAAAGCCAAAGGCCTTAGTCTGGCCTTCCTTCCTCCATCCATCCATCATTCATTCATTCATCATTTATTCACATTGTGCTCATCTAAGTGGTGTGGTGCTAGGGATGTGCCTGCTCTTAGTCCCTGTTCTTAGGGTTCACAGTCCAGTTTGGGACATGGTTGTCCTCTGTGATGGCCCAGATTAGACAAGGTTGGGATGGGGGAATTAATCTGAGGACATTAGTGAGAGCTTTCTGGTAGAGGGGATTCTGAGAACTGAAGGATGTCTAGACATTAGCTAATTGGGAAGGAGATGGGTTATGTTTCTCACAAGACAAACAGCTCGGGCAATTGTTTGGATGTGGAGAGGGCTTGGAAAGTTGGTGAAGAATTGATCTGGGAATCAATCAGGGGCCACTCATGTAGGCTGAAAAATGCCTAAGAGCACTAGGGAGCCATGGAGGATGTTGAATGGAGTGAGACCTGGTCAGAATAGCTCTTGACAGTGGTGCTAGATGAGAGGGAGAGGAGGTCCAGGTAGTAGGGAAAGCTGGGGCAGGGCCTAGTTGGAGAGGACAGGCCTGGCTCAGGGCTGGGTTGTTGGGGCTAGAATGGGAGGGGGAGGAAGGGTCCAGAGCAGGGCCCAAGAGGAAACAGTGGGGCTGTCTTTATGAAGGGACCTGGGAGGAGGGTGGTCCTCATTGATTCATTCTTCATGCATTCATTTATTAAAAAAAATAACTGGGTTTGATTGTTTGCCAGGCGGCCCTGTAGGCTGGGAAGTGTGTGTGTGGGTGCATCAGCGAACAGTTTAACAGGTATCCCCATGTTTTACCAAGCAGGGGATGAGAACAGAGAGAGTGGCAGGTAGGTGGTGAGGACTTCCAGGGTTGCTCTAGCAGAGGAGCAGCTGGTATAGAAACCCTGGGGTCGGAGCCCAGGGCACGTCTGAGCCCTGGGGAAGAGCAGGAAGACCAGAGTGCGTGCAGGAGAGAGCCCCATGGTGTGGCGGGATTTGGCTCTTACAGATGGGCTTACAGTGGGGGCTTTAGAGCAGCAGAGCAACATACGGGGTTTGATGGAAGATGCTGTGACCACTGTCTGAAGCTCTGGAGAGAAGCCTGAGTTGGAAGTACAGGGAGACTGTAGAGGACTGTGGGAGTCCAACTGGTGGACAGGACCCTAACACTCCATTGCCCTGGATATTTGCTCCTAGGAGATCGAGGAAGACCGGAAAAAAGCTGAATTAGAGGGTGTGGCAGTGACAGCTCCCCGGAAAAGCCGTTCCATGGAGAAGGAGAATGTGGCAGTGGAGGTGGAGAGTCCAGCATGTCTGAATTCTCAGGATGGAGAGGAGGGAGAGGGCTGAGGCCCGGGACCCAGAACTGCCTGCTCTGGGCCTAGGCTGCCCCAGTCTGCCTTTCCTTTGGCTGACTTCCCCTCCTTCCCCTTTTCAGGAGAAGAGCCTGGGTCCCTCTCGGAGGACTCCTGGGACCCCCCGGCCCTCAGGAGCCAACAGAGGGGGCCGGACCCACCCCCAGCAGGGAGGCCGGGCAGGAGTAAGCCGGGCATCCCGAGGCTGGGAGAATGGTGCTGGGGAACAACTTCGAGGAGGAACTGGAAGCCGGGGCCGGAGAGGCCGGGGCCGGGGATCCCCTCATCTCCTAGTGGCAGGAGACAACTCAACCTCTGATCGCAAGTCCAAGGTAGACAGCAAGCAGGCCATGAAGCTTGCGCCAAGGTTTCTGTTCCCTGGTTTTCATTCATTCATTCATTCTTTTTTCTGGTCTTGGGCCTTGTGTATATTAGATGAGTGCTTTAGCATTGAACTACATTCTCAGCCCTTAGCTTTTACTCTGAGACAGGATCTCATCAACTAGGTTGCTCAGGCTGGCCTTGGACTTGGTGTTTTTCTCCTTAGCCTCCTCGGTGGTTGGGAAAACAGACTGCACTGCTGTGTCCAGCTAGTTCATTTCTTTCCCTTTGCCTTTTTTCCATTCTTTTTGTTGTTGGTTTTTTTTTTTTCCTTTCCCCTGAGACAGGGTTTCTCTGTAGTTTTGGAGCATATCCTGGAACTAGCTCTTGTAGACTAGGCTGGCCTAAAACTCACAGAGATCCGCCTGCCTCTCTGTGTGGATTGTTTCCACAAGGTGACTAGTGGGACACTGACAGAGAAAACACATTTTCTTTCATTTTTGTTGGGAAGCACTTGGCCATCCCACCAGCAGTGGAGGCTGGAGAATGAGAGTTCTGTCCACTTGGCTGTTCTTTGTAAACGCTTAGTGTTGCAGATGGGATGGGTAAAGATTGTGGTAGTTATTAGTTGCTTGCCGAGTTACTATCTCCGTGCATCATTTGTATGGTGACTGAGGTATGCCAGGATTTCCTACATCCAAACAAGTTCCAGGCCAGGCACCCCTTGTCACCTGCTTGTCCTTGGAGAGTTTGGGCTGCCCTGTGATTTCTGCACAGCTGGTTATGTGGTTCTCTCTGACAGTCATGTCACATCTTGTTTCCCCAGGAGTGGGAGGAGCGGCGCAGGCAGAACATTGAGAAGATGAATGAGGAGATGGAGAAGATCGCTGAGTACGAGCGCAACCAGCGGGTCAGCACTGGGTTGCCTGGGGATGGGCTGAGTGGATAGATACCCTGTGCTTCCTAGCCTGCCCACCTGTCCGCTCTTCTGCTGCAGGAAGGAGTACTGGAGCCCAACCCAGTACGCAACTTCCTGGATGATCCCCGGCGTCGGGGTGGACCCCTGGAGGAGCCTGAGAGGGATCGCCGGGAGGGCAGCCGCCGGCACGGCCGCAACTGGGGAGGTTCCGACTTCGACAGGGTACGCTCTGGCTTGGAACATGAGAGACAGGTGGGTGCTGCTACAGCTTCTCAGGAATTGTGCTTTGGGCTGGTGGGGATGGACTGAGCAGGTGCTGCTTTCTGTGTGGAGTTGTTAGCCCTTGCTTGATTTAGGGGCTTTTGAGATAGGGACTCAGGCTGGTTTGGATCTCACTATGTAGTTCAAGCATTTAGGTCACCATGCCTGGTCAGTGTTTTCTCTTCTTTTTCTTTTTTGGTTTTTCGAGACAGCGTTTCTCTGTAGCTTTGGAGCCTGTCCTGGAACTAGCTCTTATAGACCAGACTGGCCTCAAACTCACAGAGACCCGCCTGCCTCTGCCTCCTGAGTGCTGGATTATAGGTGTGCGCTGTCATCACCCAGTTTATCCTTAGTGTTACAGTGACTTTGAGGCAGTCACCCTGGCCTGAGACCTTGTCTGAAACCAAAAATAAATAGGACATAGAGCCTCAGCCACCCACTTGCTTGCTGCTTGTCAGTTCTGCCCTGTGTGCCCTGAACAGTAGCCCTATTTGTGTCTGGGGCGAGAGGGTGTAGAACTGGGGTCTGATTGCCTGTGGTGCCTGTAGGGCCGCAGGGCTGGCCTGGGCTGTGGGGGCGACATGACAATGTCCATGACCGGCCGAGAGCGGTCAGAGTACCTGCGCTGGAAGCAGGAGAGGGAGAAGATCGACCAAGAGCGCCTGCAGCGACACCGCAAGCCGACTGGGCAGTGGCGGCGGGAATGGGATGCCGAGAAGACCGATGGCATGTGAGTTGATCTTCCTGCTGGGTCTTGGCTCCAGGTGCTGTCCACAGCATGCCGGGTCTCAGTGGTGTATGGGAACTTGTCTTCCTTTTCTCCCTGTGGTACTGGGGATTGAACCTATGGCTTTTTGCATGTCGGGGGATTCTAGACAGGTGCTGTACCTTAGAGCCACACCCCAGCCCTTCACTAGTAGATTTTAGAGGTGCTCTACCACTCAGCCACACCCCAGCCTTTCACTGGTGGATTCTAGTGGGGCTCTACCACTCAGCCACACTCCCCAGCCCCTCACTGGCGGATTCCTGAGGTGTTCTACCACTGAGCCATCTCCGTAGCTCCCATTCCCCACCTTTAAAATTTTTAAAAACATTTATGTGTATTGAGTGTTTTGTCTGCATGGTGCCCATGAATGCTATAAGAGGGTGTCAGATCCCCTGGAACTGGAGTTACAAAGGTTTGTGAGCTACAATGTTGGCACTGGGAAATGAACCTGGGTCCTCTGGAAGAGCAACCAGAGCTGACAGAGCCGTCTCTTTTGCCCTTTCACCTCTTTTTCCTTTTTGTGACAATGTTACCTGGGGTGGCTTTATTTTTGTCTTCCTGCCTGTTGGATCCTGGAGTTAACAGACAGTTGTGAACTGCCATGTGGATAGTGGGTCCTCTGAGCCATGTCTATGTCTCCATATATATATATGTGTATATATATATATATATACACATATATATATATGTGTGTGTGTGTGTGTGTCTGTGTGTATACATACATCTATATCTGTATCTATGTCTATATCCATATCTATCCTTTTATTGAGAGAGGCCAGAGAGGACAACTTCTCAGTTCTACCATGTAGACCTGGGTGTGCAGCTCCAATGGGCATGAAATTGAGCCTCACAGAATGCCCAGGAAAAACTTTTTTTTTTTGTATAGGAAACTCTTTGTCATTTGCTTACAGGCCTCCTGGGCTATGTTAACCTAGACTAGCATAAAACTCTCAGCCACTCAGGCTCTGTATCTCCCTGCTCAGCCAGCAAAGGCTAAGGGATAGGAAAAACCCACAACTGCCCATCCCAAGTGGCTGGCTGACTTGGACTCATTCAGAACCTTCTGCTTACCTATAGATTGGAGTTGTTGGTAGTGACAGAGTTTCCTTGTTTACTTTGTGTTTATTTGAGACAAGACCTCATATAACCAAGGCTGATCTTGAATTTCCTGTGGAGTCAAGGACAGCCTGACCCTGAGTCTTCTGCCTCCATCTCTTCAATGCTAGGATCCCAGATATGTGGTACCATGCCTGACCCACAGTTACGTCCTTCCTCTGTTTTGAACATGTACTTGAGTGTTCATTCTGGGGTGCAAACTGAGGGCAGCAACCCCAAGGGACTTGCCTATCTTGTGCTGCTCCATTCACAAGGTGCAGACGTCAGTGGGGAAGTGAACAATTTCTCTAGCCCCCACATTTTTATTTCAGAGGCTTTATTTGTTTCTTTGTCTGCTTTTGAAACTAGGAAGTTGGGTTTGCCTCTCATCCCTCATTCTGTCTGATCCCATTCTAACCTGTGGCCTCCTTGGGGGGCCTCTTCAGTTTGATCTGGCCCTGCCTCCATCTCCCCTGCTTTCTCTTGCCTCTCCCTACTTTCCTCAGCTATTGCTTGCTCTGCTCTCTTTTTTTAGGTTCAAGGATGAGCCAGCTCCTACCCACGAACTGTCCCACCGCTATGGTAAGTAGTATCTTGGAAGGGGTTAGGGTTAAGCAGTGGGGTTTGAGTGTGACATGTGCTGTGTCTCCATCCCCTAAGTTTTTGGATCTGGGCTTCTATTGTAGATGACCAAACTTGGGCAAGGCCCCCTAAGCCCCCCACCTTTGGAGAGTTCCTTTCTCAGCACAAAGCAGAAGTCAAGAGTCGCAGGAGGAGAAAGAACAGCCGGCCCCAGGCCAAGGTGGCCCCTCATGCCTATAGGTGGGGTGCCCCTCCCATGGGAAATTCTTTCTTGTTGTGTTTGGGTGTGTGAAGTCCTTCTCTGTGGCTTGAGTTTGAGGACACACTGATCTGTCTCGGCTCTGTTTGTGTCTGCTGTCTTCTTTGCCATCAATGCAGCAGAACAGATGCTCTCTGAGAAGTCCATCCCCTCACCTAGGCCCTACCCCTGTGCTCTCTCCTCCCCAGTGACCATGATAATCGCTGGGAGACAAAAGAGGAAGCTGTGTCCTCAGCCCCTGAGTCCTCTCAATCCTTGTCCCTGGAGGAGACACCCACACAGGTAAGGCAGAGCAGGGAGAAGGTAGGGTGTGTGTATGGGTGGGGTGGGGGTTCAGCCCCAAGCTTTTCCCTGATCTGCCTGTGTTCCCAGCAGACTCCAGAGACCCCAGCGCCAGCCCACCGGCCTCCTGAAGAGGATGGTGAGGAAGATGAGGGGGAAGAGGAGGGAGAAGAGGAGAGGGAAGATGATGAGGATGAAGAATGGGAGGATGTGAGTGAAGATATCACTGAGGAGGAGGAGGAAGAGGAAGAGGAAGAAGAGGAGTTTGAGGAGGAGGAAGAGTGTCCTAAGGAGCAGGAGGCCCCAGCTGTTCCTGATCACCAGCCTGGAGAGGCTGAGCCAGCTCAGAAGCCCACCTGTGAGCAGGCGGACCCTGCACCTGCCAGGCCCCAGGAGTCATTGTCCCCAGTCCCTGTTGAACCTCCCAGCCCCTTGTCGCCCACTGGGGACCACCAGCCCGTGTCTGACTGGGGTGAGGAGATGGAATTGAATTCTCCCAGCACTGCCCACTCTCCTGGTGCCCACTCTGCGGGTGAGGCCTGGCCTTTTGGGAATGCGTGAAACCAGCTGTGCTGTGTGTGTGTGTGTGTGTGCGCGTGCGAGCGCGCACATGTGTGTGCTCATGCTTCTGTGAGCTCACAAGGGTGTGGCTGTGCTCACACCTCCCTTAAGCTCTGTGGCAGGGAAGGGCAATTGGTGGCTACTCCATGCCTTAGCCCATTAGCCCATTTCCTAGAGCCTGCTCTTGCTGGTTCAGAGCCTCTCTCCAATAAAAAGTTCATTTCCTTAAATGACACACCCCCCCACTGTGTCCTTGAGCCCCCTCCCTTGTTCCCCTCACGCTGGGAGGTGTTTGGAAAAGGAGGGGCTTGACTGAGCCTCCCCTTCTCCAGGAGGTGACCAGCCAGCCCTTGCCTCCTTGGAGAGTGGGCCAACCTTGGCAAGAGCCCCGAAGTCTGAAGAAGAGGGGCCTGAGGCATCTCCAGGTGGGGTGCATGAAGCTGGTGGAGGTGGGTGGTCTTCTTGCCTTCTGGGGGCTGGGAAGGGCTTGGGGACAAAGTGAGTGGGACCTGTGGGATGGTGGGGGGGGACAGGGCATGAAGTGAGTCAGATGCTGTTCCATGCCTACTCCAGTGGGCCTGGAGTCAGGCCTAGGTCGGTGCAGAGGGTGGGCTGTAAGGCTCCAGCCGATAGAAATTGTGAATAGCTGGACCAGGAAGCTGGAATGGGGAAGCTCATTAAGGTAAAGGGTTGAGGCTAGGTTTAGGGAGGGAGCTAAAGGCGGGATTCAAAGTCTGAACATACCCAGAGGGAAGAGGCTGATTCCCTACAATCTTGAGCTCGAGACTACTTTTGTAAAAGCAAAAGCTAGGAACGAACGAATGAACGGGGTCAACTGTTAGATTTACTGAGGTCAGGGTTAGCATTTTGGAGCAGACCGGAGTGGAATTTTGGACCCCACAGAGTAGAAGCAAGAGGCTGATCTTAGCGCCTTAACGTGGTGGACTAGGTTTCTTGCCTGTGCACCTCTTTCCGTTCCCCTGCAGCGAGATAGGGGGTCTGTGGAGCAGAGCCTAGAAACTGACAGTCAAATGAGTGGTGGAGATGGAGACCGAGGGACCGGGCTAGAAAACAGTTTGTGGCCCTAGGAAGGTGATGGTTATTTCATTATACCAGCGCTTCTCAGTAGTCGATGGGGCTGGGTTGGAAGGGCCTCTGCTTCGTGGGCCTCCTGAGATTTGAGTAAACTGAAGGCCAAGCTGCAACTGAGGTGCAGGACAGGGCGGGTCGGGCAGGCTGGTCTTCCATTTACCACTTTTTATTTCCTCAGAGGTAGGCCCGGAGGGCCAGGAGACAGCGGAGATCACAGACTTCCAGAGGGTGCGTTTCTGCAAGGTGGTGGCGGCCGCTCCGCCGCCGGGGGCTGCCTGCTGACAGCGCCAGCAAACAGGGGTCTTGGCGCTCTGCACTAACCTCCAGCTACTTCGCTCCTTTGCTTCTGCTACACTCCGGCCAGGACAGGGTTAAACGTAGGGGGGGTGGGAGGAGCCAGGTGGACGGCCGGGACCCGGGGAGTCTTCTAAATTCTCTGAGGACTGGTCTAGGCGACCTGAATGCCTATGATATCTGGCTGGTGGAAGCCACTGAGTCAGCCCTTGTGAGGCTGGCTGTGCAGGACTCTGCAGCTAGGGCCTGAGGCTCCCTGGAAGACTTGAATTAAATGCGTGCTCTCGCCAACCTTTGAACTGTGCTGCTGGCAGGACAGGCTGGGCTGCTGTGCTTGGCGGGCTTTGCTGTGGCGGAAGAGGCGGGACGAGGGTTTCTCCGCCATCCTGACACCTCTCCCCTCCCACCCCACAGGCTATCCCTCAATCCTGAAGACGCTGCTGGGAGGGGCGGCAGCGCAGGTTTGCCTGGCTCCCGAGCTGGCTGCTTTCGTCCCTGCAGCCCACTCTGGACCCTGCGCCTCTAGGGAGCGGGAGAAGTTACACTGGTGCGAAGTTACTGGGGTAGGGGCCAGCTGGGAAGGGCCTGAGCTGGGTCCTCCAAACTGGTGTAGGCGGCCCAGTGCTGTAAAACAGGGAGGGGCGGGGCTGAGGCTCGGTTGGCGGTTCTAGCGCTCTTTAGGCGGCCTTCTGCTCCAAAAGACTGGGAACCTGACCTCCGACAGGCGGAGGGTGACTTATGTGCGGGGAGTTGCAATCGACGCAAGAAGGGAGGGTTCCGCCGGGCGGTGGTGGCGCATGCCTTTAATCCCAGCACTCGGGAGGCAGAGGCAGGCAGATCTTTGTGAGTTCGAGGCCAGCCTGGTCTACATGAGCTAGTTCTAGGACAGGCACCAAAGCCACAGAGAAACCTTGTCTCGAAAAACCAAAAAAAAAAAAAATGGGGGACAGGGTTCCGATGAGCGGTGAGGAGCTCAGAGTGGGGAACAGGAGTCTCAGGGCGCTAGACGAATAAGCGGGTGTGGCTGAGAGGGGGTGTGGCTAAGAGTTTTCTTGATAGTGGTTGGCCAAAGGCGGTAGGGGCGTGTCTAGGGTGTGGCCAGACTTGGTCGGGGCCTGGGGTGATGTTTTAGAGCAGGTGGGAAGCTCTTATGGAGTGTGGTCCTAGAAGGGGCGTGGTTTGCATGATGTGGTCTAAGGCGGGGCCAGAACCTCCGTGGGGCGATACGGGGTGGGGGCGGGGCCAGCGCGGGCGGAGTGGGCAGCGCGATGCGGGGCTCGAGCTGTGTGGGCGGCGGTGGCGAGAGCCCGGGCAGCGCGGGATTGAGCGAGGCTCCCCGCGGCCGATGGCTGCGCCTTGCTCCTGTCTGCGCCTACTTCCTGTGTGTGTCCTTGGCCGCCGTGCTGCTTGCCGTGTACTACGGGCTTATCTGGGTACCCACGCGGCCGCCCGCCGGCCCCTCCGACCCCCTGCCCAGTGCGCCTGCCGCTCCTTGTGCCCGTGCAGCGCCACCCGCCCCACCTCCTGCCGCCTCCTGCTTGCTCGGAGCCTCCGGCGGGCCAAGACTACAGCCGCCGGGACTGCCACGGAGCCGCCGCCACAGCCGCCGCCCAGCGCCGGGAGCGACGCCCGAGACCATGCACCGAGCGCCTGGATAACTTGGCCCGCCCCCACCGCGGCTTGCGCCAGCTCCCTCTGCACCACTGGGCCTCGCCTGCGGCCTCCTCTCCCCTGGCCGTGGTCCTGATCCAGCCCGACTTCCACCCACCACGTTCTTCCCCAGGACTCAGCGTTCATCCGCAATGAACTCCAGCCACAGCTGCGCTTCTGTGGTCTGTGGTCGTCTGCAGCGCGCGCTGGTCCCCTCTCTAACCCTGTAGTCTCTCAGCCTTAGAGGCTTTTCTCTTCATTGCTAACATGTAAATTTTAGGTTGGAATGGGGGGAAAGCGGCTTGGCAGTTTCAGGGCTGTTGAAGGTCAGATACTGTGAAGGCCTTATCAGTTTTTGGTGTCAGGGACCTGGGCCCTTGTGTTGGAGACAATCATGCGTGCTGGGAACTGCTGTTGGTATAGTTTGCAGTGGCAAGAATAGAAGCTGTCACTTGTGTTCTTAGGCCCCAGCCATTGATGCTGTAGTTGTTTTTCCTGGGGTCAGAGAGATGAACCTGGGGTTTGGGTGGTGACAGGACACATTTGCTGCTTTGGGAAGTGTAGAGTATATAACTGAACCAAAAAAAAGATGTGGGTACAGCCTCTGGGCTACACTGCTGCTGGTGCTTTGACTGAAAAGCTGGTATAGCGTCTGATAAAGAAGTCAGGCGATTGAGTCCATTTTCCTTTACCTGTTACTGCAGCCTGGCCTTAGGCAGGCTGGGATACCCTGCTGCAAGAAGGGGTTTTCCTGTATGACCTTCTTTCCCCTTGAGCTGGACAGCATCCCAGGAACCGAGCCTGGTGTCAGCTGGGAGTATGTCATCTGCCCTACGGGTTCCCTTCTGTTCCACCAGCATTCCCTTCAGGACGATGATGTACAGCGATGTACTTAACCTCTCTGGTCTTGTAAAATGAAGATAGCCCAATGTTGCTCAGAGAATTAAACTAGTGATCCAAACCTGAGGACAGTGTTTTGACTTGCTCCCTGTCTCCACCTCGTCCTTCAGCCCTCTCAGAGTCACCGCTTACATTTCAGCCCAAAGTGCCACACACCAGTAAGTCGTGAGTTGGGAGGAGAGGCCCTCCTTTCTGTCCCTCTGTACTTCCTTTTCTGTTTTCCAATTTCTTCTTCCAACTCCATGCTCCTGAGCCTTTCTTCTTGTCTCCCTCCACTATCTTCTCCCTGCTTTTCCCTTTTTTCTGTTTCCAGAGGGTCTCCATATATTGTCATTGTGCTTCTGTTGTCTCGTGACTTAACCCTTGGATGTGAGGCAAGCTCTCACTGCTGTAGCTCCAGCTGTCCTTGTGTTCTCAGCAGTTCTCCTTCTAAGTTCTGGAATTACAGATGTGTGCCACTATGTCCAGCTTGTGGATTTTGAATTCTGACCAACTTTGATGAATTTAAACATTTTGTGTGTGTGGGGGGGTAGTGTTTTACCTCACTCTCACATGGTCACAAATAACTCATGCCAAGCTTTTTGTGTTTTTTTAAAAATTTATCCCTTCTAGTGTGTTCACACATTTGCTGCAAAAAAATATTACCATGTCTGATGGAGGGCATGGACAGTGCCTGCCTCAGGCCCCTGGAGGTTTGCATGATAGGTGGAGAACAGCCTCTCTAAAATTGGATCAACCTTGAGTTCTGAAATGCATCTGTCCCTGAAGACCTCAGCTAAGGGACTGGTGACCTGCAGTTTGGCATACTGTCAAATCTGTATTTATCTTAATTACTAGTTCAACATTTATTTAATGGTTTTGGAAAAAAAAACCTAATTTTCCATTTTTTTTTTTTTTTGGTCTCATACAGCCCAAGTTGTTCTTGAACTTGCTGTGTAGCAGAGGGATTACTTAACGAGCACATGTCTACTCACCCCAAACAGGGCACTGTCAAGTGAATTTTGGGGGAGGGGGCCTCAAGTACAGGAGAGTGGGTGACTTAAAGGCAGCTACCCCACTGAAAAGCCCATTCTGGCGGGTGACTGACAGTTCATGAGGGGAGTTCTGGAGCCCCTCTGGATGGCCCACAGCAGCTGAGCAGGCCAGTCTCATGTTGCCACACTTTGAGCCCAATTCACATGCTGGTCAAGGTCATTCAGATTTTCCAGAGCTGCTCATGCCTTGAAGATCATACCATGGGCCTCAGAGAGGCGCTTAGGACCTGTATCGTCCCAAGACCCGTGGGGAATCACTCTCTTGCTGTTTATTAGTGATCGTGTGTGCACAGCGTGTGGGAGTTAGAGGATGCCTTTTAGCAAGTTTTTTTCTCCTGCCACTATGGTACCCAGGCATTGAACTCAGGCCCTCGGGTTTATGCCACAGACCTCTTTACTCAGTGAGCCATGTCCTGGATCTGTATAAATGCCATGATGTCATGATTGCTCCATGGTGTGATTAAGGGGGAAGGTTTTTTTAGATAGGTGGTGGTGGGGAACATAGCCAGAGGCCTCTGGAAGAGTCCAGAGCAGAGAGAATAAGACTGAACATGGCCAGCTGACTGGACCTGGCCATGAGAGAAGCAGGAAGCCAGGCCAGTGCAGGGCAAAGAGATGAGGTGGGGGAGGAGAGCAGGAGAGGAAGACAGTTCAGACAAGAGAGAGGGCAATAATCAAAATAGGGCTATAAGGAGAGTGAGTAGCTGGGGGAAGGAAGCTCATGAGCAGAGGGAGTTTAGGGTAGGAGAGGAGGTGAGACGATCAGAGTCAGCATGCTAGCATGAACTCTGAAATGTGGAGCAGGCGTTTGTGGTACCGAGGAACCTGGAGGCCAGCATGTGCTTTGGTGTCTAACAGGCACCACAGATAGCCATTTGTCCCTTTTGCTAGTGATATGGAAAATGATTTCTTTTGGAAACCTGCTTCATAAGTTCCTGAGGAATGATGGCCTTTGTCTAACCACCAGAATTTAGGGAGGTGGAGTTTCCTTTCGAGCTGGCAGGATCATTTTTCTTTCTCTCTTTTATTCTTTCTTTTTTTACATTTATTTATTTACTTTATGTGCATTGGTGTTTTGCCTGCATGTGTGTCAGTGTGAGGGTGCCAGGTCTGCTGGAACTGGAGTTACAGACAGTTGTGAGCTGTCATGTGGTTGCTGGGAATTGAACCCGGGACCTCTGGAAGAGCAACCAGTGCTCTCAACCACTGAGCCATCTCTCCAGCCCCAGGCTCATCTTTCTTAAGTCTCCTATAGTTCTCTGGCCTGGAGAACTGAGCATCAGATGTTGCTCTTCTCATGCCACGTTCTCTCATCAGTACCAACCATTCCTCGGTCTCTGATGCCCATGAGGACATGTGTCCCTAATGTCCCAATAGAAGCCAGCCTCACAGGATGCTCAGCTTATGCAGCCTTTGTCTGGAAGAGGGATGGATAGCTCCATTGCTCAGTTTTTTTTTCTGCCTCCACAGCAGCCAGACTGAGTCCGCACGCCCCCACGTCTCACAGTCTCACAAGCTAGCGCTAGCAGTGATAGGCTCTTTCCTTGCATGTTTAAGTCTTTGCCAGTTTGTTTAGAGTGCAGAGTGTTCCCTGCCTGTCGTCCCCTTGGATCGTCCATTCTTATGTGTTGAATCCCAGATTCTGTTTCTCTCTATTAAACGCTGGGCTCAGGGGCTGGCTCCTGTTACTGCCTTTGCCCTCTTTCCCATTCTTGTTTCTTTCGATGCGTTCCCAGTTCCAGCAACCCTAAGCACCCATCTCACCTGTACACGTTTGCTGCTCTAGCCAGAAAACATGGCATCCCAGCTCCTTCATCTCATCCTGTCTCTTGTATCAGGTTTACTCTGACGTATCAGAGGCTAGCCCACCTGCCAAGTCAGGGGCTAACGTGGTCACACAATGGCCATAGTGGTTTAGGCTAAGCCTGTTCCTACAGCCACGTTCGGTGACTTCATCCTCAGGCAGTGGACACCACTCATCCATTCAGGACGCCTCTTCATACCACGTTAAGAAAAAACAGCCACCATGGGATTTTCCGCCTTGGTTCCGTAGCCTGTCAACCGTCTGGGATCATAAGACCACCACTTTTGGCAAGGAGACACACCGCCACCCCATGCCATAAAGAATGGAAGCTATGTCTAGGTGGAGAAGTGAGTGTCCTTGCCTCATCCTGTGAGGGTTAATCCAATGGGACAGGACAGACTGGCTTACAGAGGAGACTTTGTCTGTAAAGGAAAAGCAAACAACAAAGCAGGGC